TTTTTTTTTTTATGTACTGCCTTTGGTCGTTTATGGTGTAGATGTTTAAAAGGGATGAGGGTTAATATTCGAGTTTTTTCCATGTCTTTGTAAGATGCACCAAACCGTTTCAAGGGAAGTTCTGGCTGGAACTGAAGTTAAATTTTGCTCAAAATATTGTTGTACGTTGCGATTTATTTCTTAACATTATGTCAGAGTGCACTGGTTTTATCATGTGGAATTCTCAGGCTGAAGGTTGCTTTCTTATGAGGCGCAGGTCCTATTTTCAAGGATTTGCTTGAGGTAGCGCATCAGGTTTTTGGAACTTTATTTGGTGAAATTTGTTACAGAAGATATTTCTGTCCAATATACTGGAAGTAGGAAAGGCGCTGTGGAATCGAAAGACTTAGGCGTGAATGAAAATGATGGCTCTGAAGGCACTATGTTTTCAATAAAGACGCCAGAATTTGAGAATGAGAAGTCTGGTTTCTATGCGGAGAAACAGTTCCCTCGTCTGTTTTTCAATAATGGCACTGATTCACTTTCGAGAAGACGTAGAGGCAGGAACCGAGTGTTTGGCACCATGGATAAAAGAGATGATGACCGTGATAGGAAGTCTCGCCCTAACTCGTTTATTCTCAAGAAATCAAAAGCGAAAAAAAGGTAGCTTTTCGATCGTAGTTTATTACGATTTTCAAAAACTTTTGCTGACGGGTCTTTATTTAGCAGAAGAAGTGTGAGGCGAGATCCCGAGAGCACCCGCTTATCTGTAACATTGGTTCAAGGAGATGCAAAACCACCTTTACGAAGGGTTGTCCGGAAATCATTATCGAGAATTCCTTCGTCTTCGATAATTCATCATTCTTATGTGCCTTCTGATGGTCATATAAGAAAGTCAGTTTTTAGCTAATGAATTAAAGAATTCGCTGAATTTGCAAAATCGTGCTGAAGTCAAAGCACTTTTTTACAGTAGCTGGCCGGGGAGTGAAGGCGTGGGTGGAAGTCGTCGTTGGGTGGTAACAACGGACCTTGTAGATGTGGATACTTCAGGTTAATTTTTTCTCTTGAATTACCGCAAGGTTGGGAATAAGAATGTTTGCTATTTTGATTTATTATGCAATCATATTAATGCCTTTATTCTGAATATTGGAAAATTTTTTCAGAGGTCTTTGTTAGTCCTCTTCCTTGCTCCCACTTATCAAGCGAAGGGTTAAACCAAGTTGGCCAATAAAGTCGCATGGTTTTATTCATCCTCTGATGCCATGTTTGGATTTCCTTAACTACTAATTTATACTAAGCTTACTTTGCACGTCAGTTTCATTTTCCTATTATGCACTTATGTAGTAATCCTATATAATCATTTTTCAGTCCTCAGTCTTCCTCTTCCATATCCCAATAATTTGATAAGGATTTCTTATATAAATGTCTAATCTTCTCTTCTACTTTACCCTATTTGTTGTTTATTTTTGTTGTAAATATCGCTTCAGTTGTTAAACGGGTCTAGGGATTTTGAATTTCAGTGAAAGTTCTTCTGTTTGTAATTATAAAAATGGAGGCATAGTAATTATTTTTTGGTTTGGTGGCTGTATTATTTTAGTAATTCTGCTTACTATTACTTAATACCGTTGCTTGTAGAATTTTTGAAAGGGGCCTTTCTGCTGTGCAGTGCATAAACGGTATTTTTTAAGTTGCCTTGTCTGAGACTTCAACATTCTATTTTCATGGTGGGATAAAAGGTTTTTTAATGTGCATTACTAATAAAAGTTAATCTGTGATGACTGTGAAATCAAATTGATTTTTTTGTAACTTGAGTATAGCTTATAAAAGTTTATCTTTTCTATTTATTGATTTTATTGATTTAAATGATTAAAAGT